CGCATAAATAATTTTTAAATATTAATTTCTTTTATAAAAGTCATTCCATTCAGAAATTCTAATTATAAAAAAATCAAATGTTTTTAATTAAATTTAAAAAAAACATTTAAAAAATATTTAAATAATTTTTTAAAATTTATCAGTTAAAAAAACTTAACAAATCAAATATTTTTTTGGAACTAAATCTAAAAAAACCATGTTTAAAATTTATTCAAAGCACATTTTAAATAAATAAATAAAAAATTTTTATTTATCTTTAAATGAATCTAAAAATTTCTGCTAAACTAAAATATATTTAAATACTTTCTAAAAATTAAATTAAATTTTTATATACATAATTTTTAAAAAAATTTAATTTAGAAAATTTAATAAAAACTGGAACATGTTTTCTTTTTTTATTTTAGAAAATCAAAACAAAACATAATAAATTATTTATACGAAAAATTTTTATGAGGGTAATTTTACTTTTTAAACATATCTAAATTATTGTAGACATTTTCTTTGTTAAATTTTATTTGTCAGATTTTCAAAAAGTACATTTTATCATTTAAAAATAAGCTTTCAAGACGATTAATTTTTTAGTATCTAGAAAGGCAATAAAAATTATTTTTTTAAAAAGTTTTTGTTTAGAAAAATTTTCTAAAAATCATCTAAAAGTGTTTAGAAAATGTCTCCTATAAACTTTACATTATTCTATTTAAAATAAAATGATAAATTAGTGCGTCATTTGGCACATTTTGAATGCTTTTGTATACATTAAAGCGCAAATTTTCCAAAAAAAATGAAATAAAATAAAATAAAATTATACTAAATAATTTCTAGAAGATTTATTCCTTTATTTGTTGACTTACACGTAACACCTTTGTCCAAATCTTCGTAAAATCCGTAATAACAAATCTGTTGTAAAAGACTTGGATGGATTTTTTCGAATGCTTTTATACTTCTTAATCTGGAATAAATTATTTCTAAGTCCTCTTCCGTTCTGTCTGCTGGTCTGTTCAATACAAATATACATAAACACGTTATTAATTCTGAATAATAGTAAATTATTTGTACGAAACTACATTTTATAGATTTTTTTCTAGAATGGAAAAGTATAAAATATTAATTTCTATTCTAAAAAATCTGGAATGAAAGACATTCATTGTTAACAAGTAATAATCTTTTTTGTACTCTTCCACTCATCAGCCGATCAATTGAAAATATAATACATTTGATATGTTACTGAATATTTTAAGAAAGATTAAAGCTAAATATAATATTATAATAGTATTTAATACATGATATACTGTAATACTCCATAATATCAGTAAAGAGTATATATCACTTACTAGAATACTTAATAGCGTGAGTTCTTTATAGAAGTGCTACTATTAAGTATTCTAGTACGGCTCGTGTATATCTTATCTCTACTCCAGAATTGGATCCCTATTTCCAATATAGGATGCGACTCTCGCGTATTTCTGATACACAGTAAGTAGCTCCTGTTGTTACAAGATTTGGCCACCTCTGGGATATAGTATGAGTGCTAGGAGTGTTCATTAAATACTTTCTACTACTGGCCTTCTTAGTACCTACACAGTAGAAAGAGTTTAAAAAATCCCTCTCAATAATATGATATGATAACAACAGTATTTAAAAAGTCTGTTCACTAATATATTCTTTACAATACTATAAATCAATAGTACTGTAAAGATTATCTACATGAACTTCCATTTAATTGAATGATCTTTCAATGGTATATTTACATATATTATTGAATAATAACTTGATATCTTATTAAAACACATTTATATGCATTTTATAAATATTTAAAGAGCGTTACAGCATTAAAATAACGTAAAAGTAATAAAATACGCCATTATAAATGATATTCTTTCACGTATCCTCTGATAAACTGAAGCTATATTACGATACATAACTAACATTTTTGTGATATTATAAGCATTTTAAAGGTATAAAACACATAAAAAAGGAGTATAAAACATTGTAAATAAGTAGTTAAAAGGTGTAAGAACATTAACCTGTAGTACCTTTTGTCCATAGAATGTATCCATTCCGCGACCATGACCTGGCAATGGCAACATCGATCAGAAACGTTGTTCCAGCTGATTCACCTTAACAGACAGTCAGGCATTTAATATTCCAAATTATTATCCAATTCATATAAATCAATGGACGAAAATTCGCCTGAAAATAATTGCAATCATTTGAAAAACATCAAAATAATTTATCAAAATAATAATAATAACAAATGTTGGAAAATCATCTCCAACATCACTCCAATTCCCAAAAGTGCAATTGGATTAAGTGCAATAATTATAATGAATTAGAGTGAATCGTCAGACGTGTATATACATTAATGATACAAAATTACCTTCATTAAACAATATTCTAAATAATCTAGGTAATTTCAAATAGATATTTTTATTTATTTTAAATAAATCTAAGTGTTATACGTTGAGAATGATATTTCGCTTATATATTATTATTCCTGTTAATAATTTGATTAAATATATGGATATTTCAAGACTTATTAAAATAAATCAAATTATTTCCGTAAATATTTTAAGATTCTATCATTTATTTCCCGTAGTTATGCGAATGAAATTTGTAAAATAATATTTAGTTTTTAATTTTGCTAATCGAGTCTCTCAAGTAGTAGTTCTCGATCTGTCGATTTTAAAAAATGAGTTTTTCGGATAATATTTTGAAGAATTTATTAACTATTGGTTTCTTATCGATACTCTTGACTATTTTCTTGTCAGCCAATGTTTATAAATAGTTTGAAAGGTAGAAACCACTGTTTTTTTCTTCATATTTCTGGTTAATGTGAGAGTTGATGTTTTGCAGGTTTCTTAGTTAATGTGTGAGATTTTCGTAAATAGATATTCAGAAAACTTCACACAATAATGAAGAAACTTGCAAAAGTATTGGTTTATATTGTAATTGTATATCAGCAATGAGTAAGTCATTGAATTCCCAGTGTTCACGAGATTGTTTTTATTCGAGTCTACAATTGTTCGTTTATTAGTGAGCCATTGGTTTTTCAGTATTCCTGAATGATAAGTAACACCATCAGTTTTCTCAACTAGTGTTATTGAATAATCAATAGGTTTATTATGCAAGAAACAAAGAATAATGATGCCATTATTCAAGAATTTACTAGTCGAAAAACCTAATGGATACTCTTCATTCAGAAATTCTAATTGAAAATCCAATGGGTTGCTCAACCCATTAGTTTCTCACTTAGAATTTCTGAGTGCTAAAAAAAACTTGTGGCTTTTTTTTATCACTCAGAAACATCGATAGATTTTTCTTTTTCATCCCATCAGTTTTCGTATCCTACAGGTTTTTATCTTACCAGTGCAGGTGATTCTAAGCAGATTTTTCATCAACCACAGGTTTTTCCATACTAGTGACAAACCTGTGGATTTTTCATCAGTGCAGGATGAAAAATCTATTTAATTACCACGTTCTTGAATGACAAATTATCCAAAGAAGAGCCCATTAAATTCGAGGTTCTTTATAGTATAAAGCCATTGGTTTCTTTATTAATATTCCTGATAAATTTGCTGTTATAATCTAGTGTTTCGTGAATAATATGGAAACCACTGTATTAACCTAGAATATGTACAGTAGCTGAATAATATGATAACCATCGGTTTATCAGTCTCGAAACCATGTATCAACCTACGAGATTCATTGATTTATCAAGCATTCTCTGGATAATAAGCGATTCAAAACTAATATTCTCGAGTAATGATGATTTATTATTTTGCTAAATAAAATTTAAAACCTTTAAATATGCTAAATAAACTTAAAAAACATATAAAATGCTAAAAAAATTAGTTAAAAATTCATTATAATTAACTGAAAGATTAGTGTTCAATTTATATATAATTTAGATATTAATTGATAAATAACTTAAAATGTTATCTCGGAAAAAAAATTAATGATGACATTTGTAAGTAATTTAAATATATTAACATAATAATCCTTAAATATATCAAATTAAATGAAAATAAATTATAAAATGTGATTTATCATCTATAGAAGAGATGAGAAATGAAGGTTTTCCGCTTACAATTTTCATTCTAATTAAACTTTAATGTATATAAATACTTAAAAATTATAAATTCAACTTACCTTTATAATTATTTTTATATTTTTAAAGTAAAGTATCTTTTACAATATTATATGTATATATTTATATATTGTCTAGAGAGTTAAGTCAATAACGTTATCCACTACAGAAGGGCAGACAAGACTATCGAGTCTGGTCTGTCTGTCGCCTGACAAACCGAAATTTTGTCGCAGTCACAACTTAATTCAATATATATAATAATAAAAAACAAAAACAAAATATTGCAGCAGTAATTTTCTTAAGCACAATTTCTAAAAAAACAAAGAAAAAAACAGCTGGAGTCATAATAGAAAAGTTCTAAATGCAATCGCAATTATTAAATAAGTTGTTGGAGAAGAGAAGGGGAAAAAATCTAAACTTTTATCCTAATTATTTTTGGAATTTTTGATATTTTTTGATGTATTTAAGTGAATTTTTTATCGTTTTATTGGTGGCTTTTAACTCTTAAAATGTGCTCTTCATTCATTATAATAAATAAAGAATAATCGTGAATATCAAAGATGAAAATTCTGACCTTTGTTTCCAATTATTTTTAAAAGTTTGACATTTTAAAATAAACTTTTGGAATTTTTACGTTTTGGAATACGTTTGTTATTCATTATAATAAAAAGTAAATATCCATGAATAGTAGGAGAGGACCAAAAACTGAAGTTTTATCTTAATTATTCATGTAAATTTAGTGTTTTATGAATGAATTTAAATAATTTTCACAAGTTTCGTACTTTTGCATCTTTTTACTTCTGGAATTCGAAATTTCTTATTATAAATATCGAAGATATGAAAGAAAAATTAAACTTTCATACTAATTATTCTTGAATGTTTGATATTTTGTTAATTTTTAAATCGATTTTTTGAAATGTTTTGTATTTTTGTACACATTTAACTGCTAAAATATAATGAATACATTCATTATTCTTTATAAAAAAATAACAAATATATTCATAAATAATCAAAGAAAAGATTTAAAAACTCAACTTTCATCCTAATCAAGTTTAGAATTTTATTTAAATATATTAAACATTTTAAAATAATTTTTTCCATTATTCTTTACATTTTCCAACTCTTAAAAAATATTCATTTGTAACAGCATTTAATAGCAGAATATTCATTATAACAACATTTATTCTTTACTCGAATCTTTAAAATAATATGAAACCGAACATAAAAGATAAAAATCTAAAAAACTCATTCCAAGAAATCTAATAACATAAAAAGTTTCATGGAATAAAACTGCACTAAAATCTAAAAATTTCTGATTAAAAAAAGCAACATTACTCTTCTAAGAATCTCTAATTATTAGAATAAATTATCAAAAGAATCTATTATTATATAATTTTCTATGGGATAAAACTCAGTTACATCTATCGTTTCTAAGAAAAGCACGTATGGATTTTTAGAATCATCATTAAACTGACTTTATCCCACTACAAAGAATAATCTAACATATGTTATAATTGTAAAATAAATAAGAGAATTATGTAACAAAATAAATTTTTTTAGAATAATTTGTTTTTCTTTTTTTTTGAAATTTACTTTATTCTGTGAACGACAAAATATATTTTCCTCTTCCCCTCCTAGAGCCGAGAGGAAGGTAAATTCTTCTTTATTTTTTTTTCTGTGATATAAACTTGATACATGAAGAATATTTATTTAGGATGGCAGAAATAAAATTACTACATATTGCATACAATACACTTGTGTATAAGTTTTACAGGATGGATTGTTCCACTGTTTATGGCAAGAGTCAGATGATGCTGACAGATGAAAGGAACACCAAGATCAAAACTGTTTTATCGTTTGAAATTAATTTTTTCCCCTTCGTTTTATGATGCATCAACTTTTTTTAAAAAAAATTTTATAATTCTCATTAATTATTGTAAGATTTTAGGTGATTTTTAAAAGACAATTTTTACTTTTGTATCCGTTTTTAATGAGTTATTAAGTAAGAAAAATAAAATGATATTAAAGTAAGTGTGTAGAGTTTTTAAAGATAATTCTTTAAAAATCTTTCATCTAAAAATTCAAACTAATAATAATTATTATGAATTTTTAGATGATTTATTAAAACTTTAGTTTGGAATTTTGTAAATTTTTTTTTTGATTTTTCGACTTTTTTTGTGAATTTTTAGTTGGTTTTTTTCTGAATATTTTTACAATTTTATATCAGTTTAACGAGCTTTATTCAACGAGTTAAATGGCCAAAAAAGCGAGAATTAAATTTAAAGTAAAGAAGTAAAGTAACAAATAAATAAATTTAGAATAATAAATCTTTTTAAAAAGTCTATTGCGCATATTATTACGATTTTTAGATAGATTTTTAGAGATTTATTAGGTAACCAAAAAAGTTCTGTCGTTTTTTGTGAAACTACAAAGTTTAAAGAATGTTACACGCAATACACAATAGATGACACTAAAATTCCAGCAATATGTTAATCAAGATTTAATGCTGACTCACCTTATATAAAGAGAAGTGGAAAGGTTATCTCTTAATATTATAAAAATTGACTTGAAGATGAGTACTCCAAACTCTGTAATTCGTGCTTGTATGTTGTATGAGTTTAAACTTGGAACAAGTGCTGTGCAAATGGCTCAAAAAATATGCCAGGCTTTTGGACAAGGTTCTGTTAGCACTCACACCACCCAAAGATGGTTTACAAAATTTTCTTCCGGCAATGAGTCGCTTAAAGATGCGCCATGAGAATGATGTTGAATTACAGGCTGCAATCGAAGAATATTCTGCTCAAACTTGTCAGATGTTAGCACAAAGGTTCTCCGTAAGTGATGAAACTGTCCGTTTACATTTGCATTGTCTTGGGAAAGTTTACAAGCTCAGTAAATGGATACTTCATCAATTGGCACCTGCCAATATTGTGCATATGGTGGACTGCAAATGGAATTGTTCACTATGAACTTATACCATCTGGCCAGACTATTACTGCTAATGTCTACAGTGACCAACTGCATTGAGTTCACCAATCACTTTTGAAAAAACCACCAGCTTTAGTGAACCATAAAGGCGTTCTTTTCCTACACAATAATGCTA